GGGTTTGTAGGGTTTAGGGTTTATAGGGTTTAGGGTTTATCGGGTTTAGGGTTTATAGGGTTTAGGGTTTATCGGGTTTAGGGTTTTTAGGGTTTAGGGTTTAGGGTTTATAGGGTTTAGAGGGTTTAGGGCTTAGGGCTTAGGGTTTAGAGGGTTTAGGGCTTATAGGGTTTAGAGGGTTTAGGGCTTTGGGTTTAGAGGGTTTAGGGCTTATAGGGCTTAGAGGGTTTAGGGCTTATAGGGTTTATAGGGCTTATAGGGCTTATAGGGTTTATAGGGTTTAGGGTTGAGGGTCTCGGGGGGAAGATGAGAGGGCTCAAGTAAATAAGGCGACACGACTCCTAAAGAGCCGGGCCCTGGAACCGCAAAACACCGTTCATCAGGGCCCCGAGGTTAAAATCACAGAAACCCCAAAACTCGAAACCCTATACCCTAAATCCTAAACCCTAAACCCTAAACCCTAAACTCGAAACCCTATACTACCCAAGTTGTCCTGAGGAAGCGACCCTGGTTTAACCTCGGGTTTGGAGGTCCCTCTCTGGCTTGAAATCCGACTTCAATTTTGGAAAAGGTTTCGGGTGTCGGGTTTTAGGGTTGAGGGTTGAGGCATTTTAGGGCTTCGGGGTTTGGGGTTTACGGGTTTGGAATCTAAGGGTGTGCAGATTAGGATGTTAGGTTTAAGGGATTAGGAAATAGAGTTGCCGTCCAGGAAGAATCCGGACAAATTTGTAGGCGCTTGCAGCCTCCTTTACCCCAAACGGCACAAATATCGCTCCGCAATCTATTCCCACATCCTCCTCGCAGAAGCTAGCTAGGGATTAGGTCTCCACTTCAGCATCCACGCCTCAACAACGAAACCCCCAAACCTCATGGCCAAGACTTCTGGGACCTCGCGCCAACCCGGAATCCTGAGTCCCAAATGTGGTTCGTTCTGATGCGGGATGGCGAACTGATCATGCAGCGACAGCTCATCAACAACTCTGAACCCCAACCCCCAAATCCTAAGTCACAACTCCAAAGCGAAAGCCACACGTAAACCACAAACTCCATATCTGAAGAGCCAAGAAGACGACCCTGAACCACCCCAAGACACTTGCTCATTGAAGTCAGCTTGCTATAGAACCAGACAGCTGTCCCAAACACTAAACCTCAACCCCCTAAGCCGATATGGTTTAGGGTCTGCAGGGTTTTCCCGACCCCTAAACCCCCAACTGTCCTCCACGACCCGATCATCCACAAAGTTGTCCTGGCGTGAGAAATTCGTTTTGTCGGTCTGGGGCTGAACCGGCTCCTTCAGACACCCAGATTCTCAAAAGGACCCAATTGTCAGGTAGTAGCTATGTAGGTTAGTATTTGGAAGAGCATATGATAATACGGTACGTGGACCCTTAGGGGATTGCTCATGAAGTACCAGGTTTAGAACTAACTGACAAAGCGCGTAAGGCCTTGATTAAGGCTTACAATAAGGGCGTGCAGGGTTCCGGGCTTCGGGTTCTATCCCATGGCTGTGGTTCACTTCAACACTTCAATCCCAAGCCCTTTATGGGAGTTTAGGGTTTAGGGGTTTAGGGTTTATATGGGTAGTTCCCTAAATTAGGCAGGATTAGGGTGGCCTTTCGAGCGAGCCATAAGTAGGGTTCAGAAGGGTCCCACTTTAAGGGGTCTCCCTAATACTCGAAGTAACTGCTAAACTTTAAACGCCCAAAGCCAGGAGCCCTTCCCTAAACCCAGACGATCCTCGTCTAGGGCTCCTCGCTCTGATGGGTTTACGGGTTTACGGGTTTAGGGTTAAGGGTTTAGGGTTTAGGGTTTAGGCTCATTATGACTTCGCCAGGTTTAGATATAGGGCCTATACACATCCTTGTAAAGGTCTGTGTGTTGGATCCCTTCCTGGATGCCATAGCCCTTGGTCATCAGGCCATTCACGCAGTCGACAGAGAGGCTATCGAGGTCGCCGGCCGTGTAGCCCTGCACTTTTGTTGCATTCGTGGTTTCGGGTTCAGGGTTTCGGGTTCTTGTTAGGGTTTAGTGTGTCGAACAAGTCCGAGAATTGCTCTTTCTCTCCGTGGTCAGGCTTAGGGTTTAGTTCTTTCTTTTAGGCTCCTGTAGAGGGCCTTCGCATCTTGGTGGTGTGTCGGAATTAGGATCCTACCAGTTTGCATTGGAGTCCGCAGTTCCGGATGCCCTGACTCTGAAACTTCCACGATCCTAGCGGTAAGGTGGAAGCTTTAGGAGCCATGCTTATATGGGGAATCGCTATTAGCTAACCTATGTTCTACAACTTTATATCGTTATTGCATACCTATGCTAGGAACCGTCATGCTCAGTAGTGGCCATTATTCAAGCTTCCATACGGTGGATGATATAAATCCTGCACTGCCTTACGGACCCTAAACTATGGGAATTATGGTATATGCCTTGTTAGGGGTAATGGAGGATTTATATCATCAACCGTATTAAGCCCTCAGAGGTAAGCCCTGTGCACTTCAACAACGGCCCTCACTGTTGGATCGAAGGCTTCGGGGTGAGTACCGGTATTCTTCCTTAGGATTCCTTATGATGGCTAAGGGTTTAGGGTTTAGGGTTTAGGGTTTAGGGTATACTATTATACAGTATTATATTATGCCACCGTCTACCCCAAAAACCTCTTCTAATTTTTAGGCTCGAATCATTAAGGCCCCCAGATCACAGAACCCTTCGACATTGAGAACCTTTGACATCTACCACAACGCCCTACTACGATAACACCAATCATAGTACTAATATACTAATATAATAATACGAACAATCAAAATACCAGATATAGTAGTAATAACAAGAATAACGAATAGTGTTTTTGTTGGAGCCCCGGCAGTACTTGGAGGTTCATGGGTAGTTATAAGTGGGGTTATAAGTAGGGTAACTTCAATTATAACTCTAATTAGGGGACTTATAACCCCACCTATAACTACCCACGAACCTCCAAGTCTTCGGGGTTTGGGGCACTTAGGGTTTAGGGCCTGGCGCGGCCATTGCTGTCCTACCGATGTCGCTGTGCATGCCGGCATTCATTGACATGTAAACTTAGAGCGGGCCATTTTTCAGCTGTGGGTTTGCTGGAAGCTCCCGACTTTCTGCTTCAGGCACTCGAAGTTGCCATCATGATGCCAGCGCACAGAGAACCGAAAAAATATTCCACCAAGACNNGTCAGGGGCCGAAACTCGCAATGTGGGCGGTATGAATTCTTGCATCTGTTTCCACATGATGTCGACCGTGCCACTACGCCGGCACCAAGATTGTTCGCCGCCGCCGCAGCCTGCTGTGGAACCACGTCGCCAACCACACCGCCGACCGCAGCTGTGCTTTGTTCAGCAAGCAGAAAGTGGTCGACGCCGATGCTTCGACCGCTGGGACTGCTGCGGAGCGTCGAAGGCGAACTCCACACTCTATGGCACAAGCGGGAGCGGGAACGGGCTCGCGGAGGAGTCTGCGTGTCAGCCGCAGCTGAATGGATCGGCAACATGAAAGCGTGAAAGCGGTCCAACCTGTCGTCATTACACCCCCTTCCCCACCCCCCCACCCCTCCCCCATCACACCGCTTTTCAAACTTCTGCAACTTCCGAACAAGAAGACTTGGGCAGGGGCAGAAGGGCATATTTAGGTAGGTCAATTGTGGCCGCGCCTAGGTTTAGGGGTTTAGGGGTTTAGGGGTTTCGGGGTTTAGGGTTCATGGCTGTAAGGCCAAGGGGTTTGTGTTGTTTAACTACAGTGCACTGGCTCTTTCTCCGAGGAGGTTTCGTCAATTCAGGGCTTAGGCCCCTAAACCCTAAACTCTCAAGGCGTTTCGGGTTCAACCACGATTTACCCTAGAGCTTCAGACTGCCCCAAACCCCAAACCCCAAAGCCCTTAGGAATAGCTCTCAATATGATTCGGGGGTCTTCTAGTCGTTTACGGGGCAAAGCTCCAGTAGGTGTTGATATGGGCAATCTGGGCAGTTGCAAGTTTGGACTGTACGGTGTGCGGGTTTCGGGTCTGGAATGTTAACGCTTTGGTAGTTGATGCTGTTTTGGTTGGGTCTAGAACTCAGGGCCTATCTGCGGCCGTAACTGCGTGCTTAGCTGTTTCGAACCATAGCCATAGTTAAGGCACTGCAACCTTTTGTTGCATTACCGATGGGTCGTCAATCAAATCTCCCGACCCTTTTCAATTCCTCGATTACACATCCGAAACCCTGAAACCTCGCCCCCAGCAAAACCCGAAACTCAAGTCCCCTTCAAACCTTAGAGTAATAGTACTGCTGTATTATTGTTGTACTCTAACCGCATTGTTATGGTGTTACTATACATCGTTTATAATTAGCATTCTTACCGACTTTTCCAACATTATGAACTCATAGTATATCGGCCTAAACAATCAGCCAGAATATTCTGGGGGTTCCTTATTTCATTATAGTTATAGTACAATATACCCCAAACCCTATTCTCATTATCAAGGTCCGTACATTAAGCCCTAAGCGCAACACTGAAGCCCCAAACCCAAACCCAAACCCTCGCTAGCGCCCCTTCTCGTCTATACCCTAAACCCTAAACCCTGAACCTACTAACACTGACATAGGGGCCTTAATAATTAGAATAGGGTTTTGGGACCCTTCTTCTTCGGGAGGCGAAGGGTCCGGTACGAACGCGCCTAATGCTATCGAATTCAAGCGGTGAAACTGAAAGAAAGGGCAGGAGTGGCGTTGCCAACCTCACTGCACACGGTAAGCCACTCCCGAAGCTCCTCCGCATTTTTCGAAGGAAATTCAAAGGAAACATGGCACTTTCGTCCGAGGCCGGCGAGCTCAAGCACCAGGGAAATCCAACACAGGCAGAGTTGAATCCAGAACTGATGCTGCCGGAGTCGGCGCAGTGGGCAGGAGGGAGCCCGCCAGAAGGGGGAGAAGGCAACGGGAGGCGGTGGAATCACCACCCACGCGCAAGCGAATGTCAGAGTGGCAGCAGGCGGAGACCGAAAGGGGTATGAGCGCCAGCCTCCGCCAGGGAACACATCCAAGGCTCCTCCCGCAAGGGCGCATGAAACACCGCACAGAAGGCCAGGAAGTCCAGCAGGCCGAGGAAGCCACGGGAGCGGAAGGAGTAGTGGGTCAAGCCGGGCATGGGGGCAGTCAGCAGCTTGCTGGGCAGAGGCATCACAGAGCAGGTCGGCCTGAAAGCAGAGCAGGACGTCCTCGGCTGAGGATCGCAGCGAGCCGACGGGAAGCTCAGAAGCCCAGATCTCCAAGGTCCGGCGAAGGGTCATGAACGGTTCCACAAAAGCACATACCGTATTGTACACAACCTCATCCGAGACGTCTTGTAACTGCCGAAGTGCTGCAAGCAGTGCTGGGGAAAAGTCAGCAACTGGCGGGGGTAGGTGGGCAGTGCCACGTCCAGGTACTGCTCTGATCTGCACATGGCCCTCGGGCCCTTCAAGCACAGGGAGTAAATCGAGCCCGTCCGACTCAACAGCCTGCAAGCAGACACGGGACATACCAAGATGGTGCCGCAAACGTCTTTGTGAGGCGAACATAGCTCCACACGCCCGGCAACGGCGTCCTACAGCAAGACGGTACTGCTTCGTGTGATATCCATGCTGAAGGGCGGCGTGAGATGCCCACGTCTGCGCATTGGGAAATGAGCGGCGACACAAGAGGCACGCATGCTCGGAAACGCCTGCAGCAGAGAGTGTAACAGGGCGTGTCGCCCACACGCGGCGAACGAAACCGGACCATCGCACCGTCAGGGTGCGCAGCCCCCCGTGCCAAGCGAGGGCGCGTTTGATGAGACCCTTCCAACGTTTAGGCTGTGTGGAGATAAGGCAGGCCCATCGGGTCCAATCGCTGTCGTAGGGTCCCAGCTCACATGTCCGACTAACCGCAGTGTGGAGCCAAGCACAGGCATCCCAGAAAGCACCGATAGAGACAGGGCTATTCTGGAGGATCGCCCAAGCCGCGTCAGGTCCAGTACGAAGAAGACGGCCTAAGAAACGCAGCCGCTCCGCAGCAAGGAGGTCGCGCAAGTCGGGGGCACCACATGCCTCAAATATCTCGTCGCGGGTCCAGCGCTGGTCATCGCCCCGGCGAATGCGTAGCATCTGTCGGTGAAGTGATGTGACGGTGGAGTCCAAGGTGTTCCACGCGCCTTTGCACATGAGGGGCCAGGCTCCACTGCCAGCAAAGAGGGAGGATAGCACATGTTGTCGACACAACACGACACGCTTTCCCAGCGCGATCTGCGGGCAACAGAAGACCCTCTTACGTCCTTCACCAAATTCTGCCCTTGCTCGCGCACATCTGGCTCGAACCTCCGGGAGGAGCGAACCGCTAAAGGACAGGACCGAGCCGAGGTGGCGGTAGGTCGGGACTGCGTCCAGAACAACCGGCTGGCAATGCTCGCGCAACACAGTGATCTTGGCCTTCCCTCGACAAAAGAGGAGGTCACGCGCCTGTCGCGAGCCGGCTCCGCGATGCGCCAGTAAGGCGGCGGTTTTGCGAGGCCCTATGTTGGCAGTAAGTCCATGCGACGCGACCGAGTCCAGAAGAATCCCGGTGACATGCGCCACCGCGCTAGTGAGCTCGCTAGCAGCGGGGGCGGCCACACAGGCGGCGTGATCATCAGCATAGACAATGTCGCGAACCTCAACAGAAAAGTCAACTCCATGCACAGGAGCGTGATAAAGCTCAAGCACTCGCTGCCCAATCCACTGAAAGCGGGGGATCGTCGCAGAGGGAACAGGGGCACGACGGGAGAGCACCTTTTCGAAGAGTAGGTTGAAAGCCACGTCAGCAATACTACTGCCGGGTCGCGTGCCGCGCGAAGTGCGCACAAGCACAGGATCGGCAGCGAGGTGGAACCAGGTGTCAGAATGGAATTCACGCATCAGTGCTCGGAGGAGACTTGAGGTGTCTTCACCAAGGATGGGCTCGTGCGCGACGTGGAAGCTAAGCTC